CTCTTCACTGTCATCCTCTGAAAAGTTAGTAGTTGCAGGAGCAGTGCGGCTTGGAAGGATGAGAAAAGGATGTCAAGACTTTTCTTGGACCTATTCTCTAGTATTTCTGGCATTTCAGAAGGGTCAGAAATAGCATCAAGGACAGTGGAAATGGCACCATACCCCTGTCCAGCAGGTCTATATCCCTGGATGCTGCTCATAATGCTCTTTTTTATGCCTGAGACAGCCTTATATGGGAGAGATGTCGGGAGGTGGTAGTGGGAGAAAAATTAGAAAATGGACAATTAACTTCAAGCAGAAGGGAAAAGAATTTCAGGAATTTGTAAATAGATATACCTTATTTTACTTCCTCCTCTAGCATAGTCTATAGCAAGTAGAATTACATTCTACTATTAAATGAATTTACTGAATTTTAAACTTCCCAAGGGCACAGGTGATCTTTTAAAAAATTATCAGTTCCTAGCACAATGCTGGGCACACAGCCAGCACTTGTTGATTTTGCAAGGGAAGTGGTGAGTGTTCTATAATGAGGTCATTATGGAAAGTCATCAAACTGCTTTGCAATCCCACTTCCACATCTGCTAAGTCTCTTTACCTCCCAGGAATAATGTAAAGTTTAAATAAGAGGGTAACTTAAAAAATGACACTTTCCAGTATTGTGCTGTTTCCTCCATTTTCCGTCTTTGATTTTCTATACTCTGGGCACTGTGACATAAGGAGATAAAATATGCAGGGTGAAAAAGTTTGACTGACTACCTATTTTTAAATTCAAGTTTTAATTCCTAAGAGAACCTTGCCATGCTGATCAAATATGGAGTTATTTAAAGGTTAATCTTTTCAGAGCCTCAAGCAACAGTTAAAAACATACATCACAGAAACATCCATTACACTTCTCAGTGCTACTGTCCTCATATCCTAATTCTCCAGTTCATATAGCCTATTTTATCTATTTTTAATTTATTTTATTAAGGTAACATTGAATTTCATAAGTGAAAATATTTAAGAGTTTTGGGGGTACAGTGTTACCATACCAATCCTCCCTCACGAATTGTCAATATCTGTCTTCCACAGTCCATTGGAAAGGTTAATACCACTCTAGTGCCAATTTGAAAAATTTCCAAAAAAATATTTTACCTTACTCATGTCAATATGAGAGCAGCAAAAATCATTCTCACATACTGTCTGTATTTAAATATGAGAATCTCTCCATTTTCCTCACTCTATCATTTTCACTAAGCATTTAGTGGGGTTACTAACATTTTAAAGATATTTTTATTCTTGCTACAGTGGAGCCAGGAAGTTGCATTGACCCAGAAAGATGGTTCAAGCTACACAACACTGTAATTGGTAACCAGGGCCTAGTGTTTTTTCAGTAATGGTTAGATCAGAAATACTAAACATGGTCACTAGATGGCCCTCTTGTGTCTCTTAAAGACGCTGAGGAGGTGGAGTTCTCCAGGATCGAAGTGAAGGAAAGCTAAAATTGAGGGAACTTTGTTTTTTTATTATCTATGCACGAGATGATTTTAATTTTGATTAATAAATTCTAGATCATGAAAGAGTTTTAGGTTAGTCACTGTTCAAGTATAATGTCAGCGGTGTCTGTTAGGGAAAAAATACATCCTGAGAGCAAAGGATGTTACATTGTCTGTAGCAATGGAGAGGGGGATAGAAGAGCTATTTGAGGAGGGAAATATATCATGTTGATTTGGGGGGAGACTACATAGAAGAAAAGCAGTTGCACACTCCTATGTGTTCTGCAGCACTAGTTTCCATGAAAGCTGTTTGATAACTTGGAGATTGGTAGGGTGCTCTATTTGGAAAGGTGGGATCACTCCAGTGTGATTAGCTAGCAGAAAGCAGGGAGCACATGCCATACTTGCTATCTCCTTAGCTAACAGCTCTTTTGTTTTTGTAAATGCAGAGCATGTATCTACAATGTGATTGCAATTACAAAGTTAATGACATTGTACATGAATTGATTTCTCTTATTTATCTTTAAAAGACAGAGAATATAGACATTCTATTAGCACTCCCCAAGGTAAAAGGTCCGCAGCCTTCCTATCTTGTTGTGTGCAATCTTTGCAGAAGCCGTGACGATGTTAATCATTTTACCTGAGTAATTCTTCCATTTCTCCTTACCTGGGGGGTTGTTAATGGCCTAGACTACTCAGACTCTTTGCTCTGGCTCAATCAAGCGGTGGAGGCGCCAGTTTACTTTTATTGATCAGCGGGTTCCTGACAGCCTTCACCGCAAGGAAGCAGCATCATCCTTTTTTCCCCTCTCTAACTTATAGGGGAACAGATCGCCTTAGAGTTTACGGCTAAAAGCTTCTAAGCATAGCATGCAAACATTTTAGCATGCTGCTAATTGTTCTGTTTAAATAGTCCCAGCAATATTTTAGAAAGCTGTCAAGCGCTGAATTCACATCCGTTATCAAATAACAAACCGTTTCAATGCCTTCTTTGGCCTTTTTAATTAGACCAAGATGCACTTCATTTTGACTCACTGACATCAAAGGTAAATGACTGTGGTAAATCAAATAAAGCCCTTCCCTTTGCGGAGTTCTAGAGGTGCATCCGAGCTACCTGCCATGTTGTCACTCACCTACACCAGTGCCAGTGCAGAAAAAAAAAAAACAGGCGGGTCAACTGGTTTCCTCGAACCACAATTCTGCGCTCCACCCGCACTTCTGAACGACCAACATTAAATGGTATTCACTGCCTATGCCAAAATTATCTCCCTATTGTTCTGGGCTAAATGGCATCCTAAACTTAAAGAGTGAAAGGAATCCCTCCACCCGGAATGCGGATCAGGTTTCCCGCGCCCTTCCACTGCACTCGGCAGCACTTCCTGCGGGTAGCAATCCCGAACAATTCCTTTCTGAAGGCTTCCTCCTCCCGGGGTCAACGTAAAGGCTGCTAAACCAGCTCGTCTTGGAAGGAGAAATCTTTTGAAAAAGAAGTCGGGTTGAGCTCTGCAAAAAAGATGGCAGTTTTAGGAACCCCTATACCAATGTCTTTTATCCTTTTCCTGTTTAATTTTTTCCCTGAAGGGTAAAAAGTGAGTGTCTTATTTGAAGCCCACAGACTTTGACCGATGTCGCTAGGCTAATTATGAACTTGTTCGGCTCAAGTCTCCCAAGTATCTGAGCTCGCTCACTTAGAAAGGAGGCTTACACTTCCAGGAATTGTGAATTCAGAAGTCGCTGCTCCCTCCTCCAATCAATGTGGAAAATAAGGCAGCTTGATCAGAGGGTATATTTTTATTCTTTAGGCTGGTCGCATTAGTTAAAAGCTTCGGAAAGAGGCAGGGAGAGTCCCTTTCTGTTCCAAAGGCACCCTCTGTTCGGGAGGCTGAGTTTGGTATCAGTTGGGGCCGCGCTAGCCTCCTGGTTCCCAGCTTAGGCACCCGCCGCCGCCGCCGCCGCCGCCGCCGCCTCCGCAGCCTCCACCACCGCCTGAGCGGAGCTGGCAGCCCCCTGAGACCGAGGCTCAGTGGGTAGGCTGGGACGCCCCACACACCGGCGCCTGCTCCACCTGCCAACGACCTATGAGGACTGCGTGCCAGCTCGGCAGCTACCGCCAAGCTCTGGGCTCTACCGCAAGGCGAGGCGGGCGGCGTCTGCTCCAAGAGATCTTTTCTAACGTACAGTTTATTTATAGGGAACTGAATTCTCCAACAGGGTGGGGTGAGGGGCAGCGAAATGTGCCTAGCCCTTTCTGCGGCTCAGTCTCTCTGCCACAGATCTCATTTAATTAACAAGCAGCAGAAGCGAACCCGGCTGGAGCCCAGCTCATTGTGGAAAAGTGCCGCATCTTCTTGCGAAGTAGAGATGCGGTGACAGCCCAGAAGGATGGCCGCCACGAGCCGCAGCTGAAGTGAAGACTCATCGGCCAAGAATCGAATGAATGACCACCTTGGGGGCGCTTTCTTCTTCCCTTTCTTCTTTCCCTTCTCCTTGGGAAAAGGGAAGGAAGATTGAAATAGACAAACCCAGGACAAGGAGACAAAGGCGAGAGGGAGGGGAGAAAGGGAGAAAGAGCACACGAGGGAGATAATATGAACATTATGTTTAAGATAGGAGTATGCGAAATACATAAACACCCAAAGACAACCAAGCCTTCAACCTTTCAGAATTCCCTACACATAAAACCGTGAAAGGCTTGCAGTTCCCGAGAAAATGCAACTCCAGCCCCAGCACGTTCATTTCCTTGCAGCACCCAGCCTGGCCAGCGTCCCCGATATTCCCCGCCCCCAGCTCGACTCCCACCCAGGCTCTGGGGCTCGGGTACCTCTGGTCCCGCCAGTGTGTAAGTTTCCGGCTGGCCCCGCCCCACCCCGCCTCCCAAGGCGCCTGGGCCCCGCCCCAATGCCGGAGCCCGCTGGGCCGCGCTCTGATTGGCCAGCGCCTGGTGTAGCTGGGCTCGGCTGCTCGGGCTGTCTTCGGCTCTCTCCAGACTCCACCACCAGTAGTTTGCGGCATTGGGAGGAGCAGCGGCCGCAGTAACTGCGGCGGCGGGCTCAGTAGAGACCCGCGAGCTGGCGCTGACAGCTGCACGGCACCCGCACACCATGCCGGGCTCACCCCTAGCCTGGCTTGGCTCCGCGGTGCTTTGCGCTCTGCTGCATTCGGGCTAGAGCAGAATCATCGGAGACCCGAAACCTTTTCCCCTCCACCTCTCCCCTCCCATCCCTGCTCGCTGACACCCGCACTCACTCTCCCCGCACCACACACCCACTCTCGCTCTCACTCATACGTTCACCTAGCCCAAGACCTCCCCGAGTGAGCGAGCCCGACACAGGTCCACCAGCGGCTCGCTGGGAAGGTGAAATCTACACGCTCCCGCAAGTAAACTTTGGCTACGAGAGAACGAACAGTCGTCCGTGGCATCTGCCGAGGCGGACCCCAGCGACAGCCACTGAGCTAGGAAGGATTCCACCCACGGCGGCGGCGGCGGCGGCGGCGGTGGCGGCGGCGGCAGCGGCGGCGGCGGCGGCGGCGGCGGCGGCGGCGGTGCTTGGAGAGACATCCCAGAAGAGACCGAGAGAGAATCAGCCCAGGGTAACTGCGGCGGCGGCCCCACCTCTCCTGGCCGGTACTGTAGTCCCTTCCTCTCCTTTCCCTCTCCCTCCCTCCCAAACGGGGCCCTTGGAAAAACCGGGGCTTAGATTTTCTTGGGCGAATTGCCTTCGCCTCTTTCCCCAAACTTGACGTGGAGGCTTTGGGCCGCTTTGCTAACTAACTTTGATTTCCGAGACAGATGCTCGCAGTCCAACCTTTGGGTGGTTGGGGCCAAGATTCTGCACCCACTTTGATCCCGGGCAGACGCATCCCCAAGCCTTGCAAAGCCATCCTCAGCGCGAGGGAGCGCACTCTTTCCTAGGCAGTTTCTTTCCCCCTCCCCCTTGCTCTGTGGGTCCGGGACCGCCAGCCCGCTCAGTTGGATACCCTGGCGCCTGCTGCGCCTGACAGCGACTCAGACTTCAGCCTGCAATCCCTCTTTCTCTCCAACAGGCCTCAGAAAGACCAGCGTGCTTCCCCAGGACTTCAGAGAGCACGTTCCGGGCCGGTCCTCTCTCCGCAGTGAGCCAAGAGTGCTGGGGGGAGGTGCTTGCGCATGCCAGGTGCACAGCCGACTCGCTTGCCAGCCCCTGTGCAGGTGTGCCGCCGCGGTCCCGGGAGTGCCCGAAAGGCTGCGACCCCGTCACCCTCCCCGCCTTCGCGTTAAGTACGGTTCGGACTCAGATACTCGTTTTCTAGATCGCTCAGACGCCGCAGCCCTGACCCGTTGTGGCCTATCGTACCCGGCTAACTTTGAACAGGGAAAACTGAGTAGCCGGGCTGGAGGGGGGGGGCTCGGGGCCGAGCGGAGCTCCCACGCTTCCCCGGAGCCCCCGGGGTCCGCGCGAGCCAAGCCTGCCACAACCACAGCATTGGAGCCGGCGCGGGTATCTACCCCGCGCCGCCGGGCCGCCCTGGGTGGGACGTTTGTTGCGGCCTCCAGGCCCCCCGGGCGCGCGCAACAGGCGGCCCGACTCATCGGGAAGCTGGAGCGCCGGCGGCGCCGTCCTCGGAGGGGTGTGGAGAGGCGAGGCCGGGCAGAGCCCCGTGCAGCCATGGAGTCACTCCTGCTGCCGGTGCTGCTGCTTTTGGCTATCTTATGGACGCAGGCTGCTGCCCTCATTAACCTTAAGTACTCTGTAGAAGAGGAGCAGCGTGCCGGGACAGTGATCGCCAACGTGGCCAAAGACGCGCGGGATGCTGGTTTTGCTATGGACCCACGACAAGCCTCCGCTTTCCGTGTGGTATCTAACTCAGCACCGCACTTGGTGGACATCAACCCCAGCTCCGGCCTGCTGGTCACCAAACAGAAGATCGACCGCGACCTACTGTGCCGCCAGAGCCCCAAGTGTATCATCTCGCTGGAAGTCATGTCCAGCTCAATGGAAATCTGCGTGATTAAGGTGGAGATCAAGGACCTGAACGACAATGCTCCCAGCTTCCCTGCGGGACAGATAGAGCTGGAGATCTCAGAGGCAGCCAGCCCTGGCACACGCATTCCTCTGGACAGTGCCTACGACCCGGACTCTGGCAGTTTCGGGGTGCAGACTTACGAGCTCACGCCTAATGAGCTCTTCGGCCTGGAGATAAAGACGCGAGGTGACGGCTCACGCTTTGCTGAACTCGTGGTGGAAAAGAGCCTGGATCGAGAGACTCAATCGCACTACAACTTTCGCATCACCGCACTCGACGGGGGCGATCCGCCGCACATGGGCACGGTTGGCCTCAGCATTAAGGTGACTGACTCCAATGACAACAATCCGGTATTCGGCCAGTCCAATTATGCTGTCAGCGTGCCAGAGAATTCACCTCCTAACACTCCGGTCATCCGCCTCAATGCCAGCGACCCAGATGAGGGCACCAATGGCCAGGTGGTCTATTCATTTTATGGCTATGTTAACGACCGCACCCGTGAGCTCTTTCAGATTGATCCTCATAGCGGCCTTGTTACGGTTATTGGTGCCCTGGACTATGAAGAGGGCCACGTGTATGAACTAGACGTGCAAGCCAAGGACTTGGGACCTAATTCCATTCCTGCACACTGCAAGGTCACGGTCAGCGTTCTGGATACCAATGATAACCCGCCGGTTATCAACTTGTTATCTGTCAACAGTGAGCTGGTGGAGGTGAGCGAGAGCGCCCCCCCGGGTTACGTGATCGCCCTCGTGCGGGTTTCTGATCGCGACACCGGCCTCAATGGGCGCGTTCAGTGCCGCTTGCTGGGCAATGTGCCGTTTCGGCTGCAGGAGTATGAGAGCTTCTCCACTATCCTGGTGGACGGACGACTGGACCGGGAGCAGCACGAACAGTACAACCTTACAATCCAGGCGCGCGATGGCGGCGTGCCCATGCTGCAGAGTGCCAAGTCTTTCACTGTGCGCATAACCGATGAGAACGACAACCATCCGCACTTTTCCAAGCCCTATTACCAAGTAATTGTGCAGGAGAACAATACTCCGGGCGCGTATCTGCTGTCCGTGTCAGCTCGGGACCCTGACCTGGGTCTCAATGGCAGTGTTTCCTACCAGATTGTGCCATCGCAGGTGCGGGACATGCCTGTCTTCACCTATGTCTCCATCAACCCCAACTCAGGGGACATTTACGCACTGCGATCTTTCAACCACGAACAGACCAAGGCATTCGAATTCAAGGTGCTGGCCAAGGATGGCGGCCTGCCCTCACTGCAAAGCAATGCAACGGTTCGAGTCATCATCCTCGATGTCAATGACAATACTCCGGTCATCACGGCCCCACCTCTAATTAATGGCACCGCTGAAGTCTACATTCCTCGAAATTCAGGCATAGGCTACCTGGTGACTGTTGTCAAAGCTGACGACTACGATGAGGGTGAAAATGGCCGGGTCACTTACGACATGACTGATGGCGACAGAGGCTTCTTTGAAATAGATAATGTCAATGGGGAAGTCAGAACCACTCGCACTTTCAATGAGAACTCCAAGGCTTCCTATGAGCTTATTGTGGTAGCCCATGACCATGGCAAGACATCTCTTTCAGCCTCTGCACTCGTTGTAGTCTACTTGTCCCCTGCTCTGGATGCTCAGGAGTCTATGGGCTCCGTCAACTTGTCCCTGATTTTCATTATAGCCCTGGGCTCCATTGCGGGGATCCTCTTTGTCACGATGATCTTCGTAGCAATCAAGTGCAAGAGAGATAACAAAGAGATCAGGACCTACAACTGCAGGTAGAGCCACTTTTTCCCTTTCCTTCTTTGTGTTTGGTGAATAAGGTATACTCTTGTTTCAGTGTGAAAAATGTTGTCCTTTTGTTTTCCATTTAAAGGCTTTCCAGGAGGTCTTACAGTGTTTCTTTTTAGCTGGGTGGGGTGGGGTTGTAGCAGTTCAAATGATTTGATTCTTTTGATCTGACAATTTACTGAAAGACTAACTTGTTTGAATGGATTCTCTCATATAATGACAGTAAGCAGAAAAGCAGTTACAATTTTAAACTTTTCACAGCAATCATCATGAAGTTTATGCAGAAAACCAAATGAGAGTGTTTTTAGCAGAACTACTAAGTACCACAACTTAATTTCTGGGGCACAGTGTTTTGGGGACAGGTATTTAAAGGAAAGGAAGTGCTGCCTACTGCAATTTCCTGTTGCAGAGAAACTCTGAAGATCTGGTGAATGGGAGAATAAAGCAAGAAACAAAAATCTGGAGAAGGGGAGAAGAGGAGCATGAGGGGAGGAAAATGATTACTGTTTTAAAGTTAGTCTTGTCTTGTTTTGTATCCAGTCCCCAAACATCTGCTAAGTGAAGTACAATTCTAACCATTGTCTGCATACTGTTAAGTATCTGATTGGTTGGTGAAAACTAAACATCTCAATGAGCAGCAGGATTTTGTATCCAGATGTTTTCTTAAAATAAGCTGTCTTCTGGAGTTGGTGGTACTTTCCTCTAATGCTGTTGCACTAAGATCTCCTCTCTACCAGAAGATGTCTCTATGGTCTATTGTGTTACAGTTTCACATCCTTGAAGTATGCAGGATTTGTGTGTGTGTTGTTTGAGAGGGATGATAGGAATAAATGTTGAGTTTAGAATTACAAAGTTTTTAAAAAGGTATCTTGATAAGCTCATTAAAGAGTCTTGCTGAAACTCCTTTCTAAATATTTCTGTAAGCCACTATAGCATATTACATATGATATTCTTTCCAGCAGTGTATCACTGAAGTGGTTGAAAAAGTTGTTCCCTTAATTTGTTGAAAATGAATAATGCTGTTTTCAACCAAGGTGTATGTATGCTATCAATGCACTTACACATCTAGAGTGTCTTTTTACCATCTGTGCTTCATGTTTAATAGGTCAATATATGTTCCTGTAGGTCCAATTTATATTTGACATCATCTGAATGAAATGCACATTTCTGTGAATCAGAACCCCCCCTGAATATGTAACAGCCATGCAATTATTGTTTCCCTTTTACTATTCTCTGCATTACACAAGTTAGTAGACAAATGCTAACCACACATGAATATCAATCAGGTGCCATAAAAGAGCAGCTGCACTGCCTCATAAATGCTTTAATCCTGTTACTAGTGAGATGGCGTGACTTTTCTTTCCTTCAGCACCTAGTCATTTCAGATGGGAGAAATGGAAATTAATACTGTACTTATCTTTGAAACCCACGACTGCCAAGTGGGGATTTTTGTAAAAGAAAAATGTGGGGTCTATAAAATTTTATTTATATGTAGATAATGAGAGAGGGGCCTTTTTTAAAAAAAATGAGTTCCTCACCATAAAGTAAATGCATAAAACCCTTTCCTTGATGAAAAAGAAGTCATCCTGAAATAAAGATATTGAAGACTTTTTCACCTCTTGGTGATGTATGACTGGAGAGCTCTTTCTGAGAGAGCTTGCCAAGAAGATCATTAAACAGGGAGGGGAGCATTTGAATTGAAAACAAAGTGCAAATCTCAGTGCTCTCCACATGTGTATTTTGTAAAGAGCTCTGTTTCCTGTGATGTTTGGGATTAATGAAGTACGGTTTAATTAAATAATTGGTCAATAGAGAAAGGGCTGTGCAATGAATGCCGTAGTTGAATAATTGGACAGGGCATTGCCAAACTTACCATCATGGATAAACAAAGTGATTAGTACTTTCCATTGATTCTGTAAACAAATTAGAAAAGAAAATCAACCCCAGTCCCAGGGACTTGGGGATTTTATCTGCTCCCTAACCCCAGTAGCATCAGCTTGGTATCACTGCAATTCTGACTATAGAGGAAAACTTCTAGGGAAACAGAACTGCTTAGCTCTAGGAAGATCCTGGTGGGGGCAGAGAAAGAATTTGCCTCTGAATATACACAATCACCTCATTTGCTTAGTAATTTAGAAAACTAAAGTTCAAGAGCTTTTCTTTCCATGTGTTAGCCAGAGGTTTATTTTATGCAGTCAATGCAGTGCTGCTTCTTCAAGCACATTCCATTTATGAGACTTGTAAGATGATCTGCAAGTGCTGCTCAAATTGGGCTCTCTTTTTTGTGTTTAGACAATTAGCTTTGTCCAGTGAGAATTCAGGGAGTCTTTTCCTTGAAAAGATCAATCTGTATTATTTATTATCCCAATTGTTTTTGTTGAATATTGCCCGGAATTTCCAAACAATAAGCAAGTCACTATGTGCAAAGTAATAAATGAGTTTGAGAATCTGCCTATATTTAATGTATTTCTTTTGACAAGACTTAATGTTTGGTGTCTTTGGTGCACATTGCTAGGTCTGTGTCAATGTTAATTAAATTAAACTTTTTATGTTTTAGTTGCAGCACAGCTGCTTGTAGGTACACCTGAATGGAGAAGGATGCTGAATATACTAACCTTTAAATTCCTTTGTACTAATTACTTAACCATCACCTGTCTCCCAGATTGTTTTATAAGAGGACAAAATAGCAAGTGTGTGCATTGCATATGGGTTTCTTCCATTAGGGAGAAATAAGACAGAAGGCAGAGGAGAAAGTGTTTCTAAGGGGGAAAGGTAAAAGGCATTTTCCCTCATTCAAATGGGTTTGGTTACAGATTTCTCTAGAAGCTGAGAAGGTGAGATGTAAGTAGAAGGGAGCAGGGTTAAGGTAGTGGAAAAGAAAAGCATTAGGAATAAACATGTCAAAGAATAGGTTCTGATATTCTACTTCAATCCAAAACTAATTAGGCCACTCTGAGAGAAAATTGACTTGAAGGTGTTTGTCACATGGTAAATTCTTTGAGTAATTGAAAAAGGGGTGATTTTTTGTCTCCTCTTCTCTTAGATCAGCCTTTACTTCTTTTTTTTCATGCAGGAAGTCCTTTGCATTCCAGGAAAGCACCAGATTTGAGATTTTTCATATTTTCTATCATAGGCTCAAATTTTCCCACCACACCCCCTGCTGCGTGGCCACTCACAATAAAAAATTCCAAATCAAAAGTACAGAAAGTTTGTGGCCAAAATGGAATGTCACAATGTTTAATATGAACAATTTTGTGGCCCTCAGCTTGTTTTTGCATGTTAAAAGCACAGGGAGAAACCTGATGATGTAATGCAGAATAAGCTGGAGTAGAGATGGGGGCGGGAGTGCTGCAACTCTCTGGGCTGCTTAATGATTATTAATCAGTGTGTGGTTTGAGGGCATTAGACATATATGCTGCCTTTTCTATCGCCTAGAATCGCCGAATACTCCTATGGCCACCAAAAGAAATCAAGCAAGAAGAAAAAAATCAGTAAGAATGACATACGCCTGGTACCCAGGGATGTGGAGGAAACAGACAAGATGAACGTTGTCAGTTGTTCCTCTCTGACCTCATCCCTCAACTATTTCGACTACCACCAGCAGACGCTGCCCTTGGGCTGCCGCCGCTCTGAGAGCACTTTCCTGAATGTGGAGAACCAGAATACCCGTAATACCACCAGCGCCAGCCACATCTATCATCATTCTTTCAACAGTCAGGGCCCCCAGCAGCCAGACTTGATTATCAATGGCGTCCCTCTGCCTGAGGTGAGTGAAACTAACTGGCTCTGTGAGGTCTCCAGACCTCTTACCCTGAGGTGCTTCTGGGCATCATATTCCTCCATGCTGGCACATTGCCTGGCAGGGATGGGGAGAACATTTCTGTCTATACTTACTTCCATAGTCAGCATCTGTTCCTAGTGGTTCTGGAAGTAAAAGTGTAACCCAATATTTGGGCCTGTGCAGGAATGGATGTTTGAAGTGAGAACTCAAGGGGCCTTTGGAATCTCTGCATGTTATAATACAAATTTGCTCTATCTATTGCAAATGTAGTATACTAGCCAATCAATGATACCCATATTCTAGTTAGTTAAGGTAACTAAGAAAGAGTCAAGTGATGATAAAGCTGAATTAATTCTGATATGCTCATAGGCCAACATCACAGTGTGAGATTCAACTTCCTAAAGTAATCCTTTGCTTTTCTTTTGGGCATATCCATTCTATACTGAGAAAATGGATGCAGTGGTTAAACAGAGGAGATAAAAAATGTAAAATGTCATTTTTCTATTTGTTGAGAGTTCTTATGAAGATATCTGGCAAAAACAAAGGTTGAAACTGTCACTAATACAACTTTAAGAATTAACTAAGTATTTGATTTAGCTATGTTTCCTTTCACTGGGGAATAAATGTTTATCACTGGATATATTATTAATTTTTCAAAACACTATATACCCTGATGTTGTTGACTACTGAAATATTTCAGGGTAGTAGAATGCTAATGTTGATGATGATGTGAAAGTGACTAGGTGGAAAGCTATATAAATAAAAATTCTTTAGTTGATTTAATTTCATCAAAATTGCTTAAGTCCTTTTTGATTGGAGATTTCATGCACCGGGAGTTGTAAACTCTCTTCTAGGTTACTAGTGAAAGGAATACTGCCTACATACAGAGCACTTCCATAGTTTTTAAAGTACCTAACAACTTCACAATTTTTTTTTTGCTTTGTGGGTCACACCCGGCGATGCACAGGGGTTACTCTCCTCGCTCTGCGCTCAGGACTTACCCCTGGCGGTGCTCAGGGGACCATATGGGATGCTAGGAATCGAACCCAGGCCTGCCGCGTGCAAGGCAAACGCCCTACCCGCTGTGCTATCGCTCCAGCCCCAGCTTCACAATTTTTAAAGCACCATTTCAGCCTTCACAGTTATTGGCTTTGGTTCTCCAAAGATGGATTGTTCTTCATTAGAACATAAAACTGAGGTCCAGACATGTTAACGGATTTGCTAAGACTCACAGAGCAGGACATCAAGAGAGAGAAGACTAGATTTTAGGGTTCTGTAACTTTCTGGAGAATGCTGTTTTAGTGATTCATTTCTACTTCCTAAAGAACTCAGCCTGACATACCTGGGCTATGATGCACATAAAATGATTTCATAATATTTATATCACTCTTTTCAGGCTTACTTCCTGGAAAATAATTCTCATCACAATTAATGCAACCAAGCGAGAGTGATTTCAGTGAGAAACTGATGATATTCGGCCAGCAACAAAAACACCACACACTATTTTTAATTGAAAAATTACATTTGAATAAAGTTTCATTGAAAATTTGTTCTTGACAGCTCAGTTTTAATCATGAATACCTGTGAATACCAATAAAACTAGGCCATAGACTAGTTGGAGCGTTACTTCTGTTTAAGCAATAAAGAGGCAGAGGTAGTTTTATGGAGAGGAATCAGACCCTGATTTTGAATCTGGGGGCAACTTTTGTCATGAAATCTGGGTCTTTGTTTTCTCATCTATACAATAGGTAAATCTACCATGCAAGATTTGTCTGAGGAATAATATGATATTGTGATTTGGGACCTAGATGCCCCCCAAACATAAATCTCTCATATAGACAGTAATTGGAGAATCACTGCTATAATGGCCTGCACATACACACTTGTGTATATCTTCCTGGGCACTTAAAATATAAGATTAATTTAAGGTGATTATATATAGATAAAATTACAAATTGTTGTGGTTAGATTATTCATATTTCACAGTTAAGAAAATGAGATATAAGATGCCAAGGTTGAGGTTTAGGTGTATTCTTTATGGGTATGGGCAGAGATATTGGACATTGAGGGTTTAGAAATTATGCATCTGACTTCAAGGTACTAGAAAAATACAATCCCTGTTTAATAAATATGAAATACTCAGATGTATAACTATGTCTTCATACTTTACCTAAGATGTGGTGTTCCTTCTGAAATTCATTTATGGGTCAATAAAACAAAATATTGCTGCACTTATTTAGAAAAATCATAAAAAATAAATTCTGATCTATCCCTGACTTGCAAATCCAGATGCTCTTCTTATTTCACAAAATCACACAGATTCAGCATGCAGGGCTATATAAGATCAAGACAGCTTGTACTAGACAGAGTGAAGTATATATTTCCAGTAAGTAGTCTGAAGAGGTTAACCAATAAACCCATTCACAAGAAGGAGAGGACCATTCACTGCCCAGCATGAATCAGATAATTTAACCTGCTTCTGATACAAAATTTGACCTTGGAGAAAAACAACTTTTCTTTTTCTTCCCATAATAAAGACCCCTGAATTTGAACCAGGATGAAATCTATTGAAGAATAAAAATGATCAATTTATTCTCCTAACATTTGTTTAGTACCTATTCTTACTCTTTGTAGGCTCTGCTTAGGCTTTGGTGTTAGAAAAATGAAAAGGTATTTGCTGATCCCAAGGAAAGCATATATATATATATAGCATACTTATATGTATATGTACATATACATATGCATAGACACACAAACAAACACACTATTGTTTGGTGCCATAGATCTAACCCAGAGCTTCCTTCATGCAAAACATGTGTCCTAACATTGAACTGTATGCCCAAAAGAAATGCACATTTTCATGGAGTGAAGTAAGCAAACAAATAGATGATTTGCAATATTGAGTGATAAATGTCCCTATAAAGCACTAGGAACATTCTTTATTCATAGAATAGTAATATCTTGATATACTTCCTACATTTTCTTTCTATTGGCCTTATTAGTTAATCCATCGATGAAAATAGCATTTACTAAGGAATTAGTGATAAGTGTTATGATGTAATAAATATGATTCTCTAGAAAGTTCTACATTAAATAATGTCACTTAGTCTTCTTAAAATTTTTGAGCCACACTTGGTGATGTCCAGGGGTTAATCCTGGCCCTGAAACCAGGAATTACTCCTGTCGGTGCTCTGTGAACCATATGGAATTGAACCCAGTTTAGCCATGTCGAAGGCAAACACCCTACTTGCTGTACTATCTCTCTAATTCCTGTCATTTAACATTTTAATTTCATTATGTTAAGCAAATTTTGTCCATTAATTTCTCTCATTTATATTTATTGCACACTTTTTAAATGTGCTTGATAATATACTTTCCTATAATAAATAAAACACTTGATCCTTGACCATAGTGAGCTTCCAAGGACACTGGCAAGTAAACAAGTAATTTTGATTTGGATAACATCTCTTTCTTACACATATGTCATATTCTTCCTCTTCATATTTTTACTGAAGTTCACTCAGTACACATTATGTCTTCTGGTCAGAAACTCCCTTCATTAGCTTCAGAGTCAATTATAGGGTTTCCTCACAATGACATTATAGTGAGCAGAACTGATTTCTTCTTAGGCTTTCACCACACTTTGAAATTTATCATCATGGCATTAGATCAAATCAAATCAGTAAAGCATTTTTGAGTATCTACTATGGTCTCAGTTGTATTATTGGCACCATGGGGATTCAAAGTAAGTACACAATATCAATACCATTTCTGTCTTCAAAGAGTTAACAGTCTAGATAAGGAATCAGTATCATTCACATGACTTTCCTTGCAAGGAGTTGGAAAATTCCTAGTTACTTATAGGAACCTTACTACTCTTTCTTTTCAGTGGCAGCCCAGCCCGCATTTATATGTAGATTTAGGCTAGGCTAGAAGCTTCAGGTTGAAGGGTAACCTTTATAACCTTTACAACAACATCTGAATGCTGTTGTTCTTATACACTGAATGGAACTTCAATTTAAATGCAGATAGGTAGGCAAAATAAAAGGAATGAAGCATTTGTTTAGTGCATTGGAATTCGGTATCTCTGATACCATTATACCTAAAATTGTGTAATTATTTACTGTTCTTGGTCTTCTAATATTAGTCAGGCAATTAGTTATGTGAATTTTGTGTTCTGTACACAGATGTGAGAAGCCAAAGTTAAACATGCCTCTGCTCTTTACAGAAGACTTACAAAATTAGTCACATCAGGGATCTCTTAAATATTTTAAATTTAGAATTTGCATTCCTCAGCATCTCGTTTATTTAGTTTATAGATTTACTGTGTGAGGATATTGTAGCACTGTCCTGTCGAGTGTGCACCAGTAACGTCTCCATTGTGAGACTTGGTACTGTGTTTGGCCAAGGGGATACTCTCGGTAGCTTGCCGGGCTCTCTGAGAGACATAGAAATCGAACCCGGGTCGGCTGCATTCAAGACAAACTCCCTACCTGCTATGCTATTGCCCCAGCCTCCAGCTGTGTGTGAGTGGATGTGTGTGTGGGAGGAGCAGTGAAGATAGAAGAGAGGTTGAAAAAAAGACATTTTCAGTTTGCTAAGTTTTATTAAAAAACACTTTCGGCTTTTTGGTTTTGGAGCTACACCTGGCAGGGCTCAGTGGCTACTCCTAATTCTGTTCTCATGAGACCCTATGGTGCCTGGGATTGAATCTGGGCTTCTTGTATGCAAAACATCCACTAAGCCTGCTTAGGTATCTCTGTGGTCACTGCTAAAATGTTTTTCAAAAAGTACTCTAGGGCCAGAGATATAGTACTGGGGGCCAAAGCATTTGCCTTGCACTTCTGTGGTCCCCAGAGCATTTTCAGGAGTTATCTCTTAGTACAGGATCAGGAGTAAGCACTGGGCACAGCTTAGTGTAAATCCAAAAATCAAAATAAAATAACATAAAATGCCTCTAATTTTCTTGACAGCCTCCTTAGCTA